TTGTTTATAGTGGCTTACGAGTGGCAGGATTTCTTCGCTGACTAAACGCTTGACTTGACTAAACACCAAAGTTCTTTCTACCTATCTAGCTATGAAAGAGGGAAGGGGAGGGGGGAACAGGGGCATGTCCCGTTATAAATTGCAGTCGTTATTCCACTCAAGCTTTCCTTTTTCTCCAACTGTGCGTCAGTGCCATTGTCCCGTTCGGAGCCTTTTTAAGATGAAGGGGAAGCGCAAGCACTACCCCTCGGGTAATGGCTAATATTCACCCCTAGGATTAGACTGAATTAAACGTGCCTCTGTTCCCCTCAACCCCTCAAATAATGGAGGAAATCTGTAGATGTAATAAAGAGAAATAAACATGATTATGCCATAATATGTTGCAAGCCAGGAGATCTGTTATTCACATGCTCTTGTGAGAGAATCTTTACAGCCGGTTTCCGTTGTAATTAACAAAAATTAACAGCAACAGCAACAATAAGAAAACAACAACAACAACAAAAACTAAGCAAAAAATATATCCCAAAAACGTAAAACGGAACACGGGGGATACACAAATTCCAGCTTGCTAGGAGGTGATGTGAAAGTGAGAAAATGTCATGCCATGCTATTCTTAAGAACCTGTATGAGCCGAAAATGGATGTGATTCTGACCATTAGCTTCAAAATAACAGCGAAAGTCGAGATAAGAAAACATATGTTTTCCGTCCTACTTTGCAAACGAGGACGTGTATCGGCATTTTGTAAAGCATAATTATGTTCTTTCATTCACTCATTGCTAAGGAATATGCGTTTACATTGTTTTTTTTTACTGTTAATAGCTCGGTTAATGTGGCTCGATCATCTTGCCGGCGGAAGTTTCTTGGAAAAGGGATTAAATTAAAAACTTTCCCCCCAAGATGTGTAATCAACCTCTGTGGTGCAGTGGTTAGCTGTTGTCGCGTCTAGCCGAAGGTGCTGGGTTCGAGTCCTACTCAACTCTTTTTTTTCCTTCTGTCTTTTTTTTCCGCTTTTTGTGTTGTTGTTTTCTATAAATATATCATAAATAACTGTTATTTAATAAAGTGCAATAAACAGCAAGTAAAGTATTGTGTTTCCAGAGAAAAGATAGAACACCGCATATTAAATATATGGATAAACAATCTGAATTTCTATCATTTCCTACAATTTACTGTGGGAAAACCAGAGTTGATAACCACTTGATCATTTTCTAAACAACGTTTCCACGAGTTCTTTCTGTAGACTGACAGTAATTGTTACTTTCCAACATGTAAATAGGACATTCAATGTCATTTTCGATTCTTTTAAATCTCGCTTCCTAACTAGTGCCAGCATCAACAGAATGTGCCGCAGCATTACTATCTTTTAGATACCCTAGTATGTTAAGTACATGAAAACAGAGAGAGACGGAGATAGAGATTTTTATCCCTTATTAAAGATTGTGAATAATTTAGATCACATGAAAAGTGACTAATTTTATTATGTGTCACTCGAACAATGTATACTTAATAGGGTTTCTTGTTTGGGGGGTAATAGTTACAGAACTACAGCACCAACATTTAGTATTGTTCCAGGTCTTATATCCCACTTGACGCGGATTTCAGTATTTGGCCAAGATGAAATGCTAAACCCGATCTAGTCCTTCTGTAAGACATTAAACCGCAGAAAAACATACTCTTCTACTTTGTTCTGCAGGGATCGCACACATGTTACCTCGGCATAAAATCATAGTGTAGTCTCTTATCATAATTAAGCGGTTTATATTTGTTACTTTTTCCGACAATTTCTTTCTTGGTGTGCTATTTTTTTTTTCTTTTTACACTGTAGGTTACTCAGGTAAATTAAGGAATGGGCCTCAGTTTGCCTTAATTGGTCTTAATTTGCCATAATAACTTAATTTGCTCTCTTCAAAACCGAGGGGGTGGGGGCTTTATATGAAGAGACATAAAACTTTGCCAGCTACCCACATTTTTAGTTTGTGTCAATTTCGTGCTTTAAAATTATGCAAATTAGGTCACGCGACTTCCTTCAGCTGACAAAGCTGATGAACTGAGTAGCCACTTGTAAGGTTTAAAGCAGATATCGCTTTTAAAGGGATTTCAATAGAACACAAGGTAGAATTGTATATAATATTACAAGGAACACTTACAGTCGTGTAACACGAAGTAAATTCTAACGTTAGCATGGAGTAAGGCACGTAACCGTGAACCTTCAAAAAAGGTACAACTAAAGGAACATTTCTAGTGTTCTGCAAGTAATTGTTATTGTTATTATTATTAATAGGAATTGGGATAGCCCAGACTTAAATGCAATTTTGATTTTATTTTCTTTTGTTCTCTTTTGTTATTTTTTGTAATGACTCATTCTCAAGCAAGCTCATTCTTTAACCATTCAGACCATCTTCTAAAAATTGGGAAAAATTAAGGCTGATACTCTGAGTCAACGAAAAAATTCGGGTCAACCTCGTCCCCAGGGCTTTTGGAAAAAGCTACTACTACTATTTAAAAATAAACCTCTAAAGGTAATATTTAGTCAGTCTGACAGGATCAATATTCTCACTCCCCACCTGGAAAAAGAAGGTAAATGCATGGCTAGTTTTTATTTATTTGTTTTTTCATTTTCATTGTTATCTCAAATACACTCCTGCAGAAAATACCATGAAAACAACACGTAAGTCTCAGTACACTTGATATATACTCGGTACAAAAGTTGACAGGCACCTACTCATGCGAGGACAAAGCCTTATTTATTCCCCGCCTCCTCCGGTCCATCCTAGATGAGTTTTGGACCAAAAAATGCTGCAATATCGGTGCAATACGAAGAGTTTGACGCTGTTACCACATGTTCCCTCCCTTTAACAAATAAAACCATCAAAATAAACACGATTGCAGGGTAGTGAGCAGAATTTATCACTATTCCATCAACGCGTCCCACGAATGTCATGTTGTAATGTTCAATAGAAACTAGTTTTCACTTTAGTGATCCCTAACAGCACTAAAAGAGATCAATCTACCTTCTCCAAAAATTTCCAACCATATCGCAGAGATGCCAACCTCTGGAGAACTAGAATCTGGAGACCCTCTCTTTTTCACCCCCCCGATAAATATGGGAATGCCTGAGGACATTATATGAAGTATTACATGAAGTACAAACCATCAAAATTCACGATCATCATTTTGATGCCAGAAATAATATTTGTCAGTGACTAAATAAGTGCAAAAATGCCCCAGAAACCGTACTACGTATAAGAAAAATTCAAGTTTTGAGCTAAAAATGGGCTAAATCTCAAACTAAGGCACAGAAAAGCTCGAAAGATGATTTTATCCGGGAGATATGGTGACCCGTACGGGAGACAGGGAGATTGGTGTCGTATCCGGGAGACTCCCGGATAATACGGGAGAGTTGGCATGTATGATATCGGTCACTCTTTACGATAAAAAACGTATTTACTATTGTTGACCTTGCCACAAGTTTCATCCAAGATGGAAAGCTGAGCAGGTTTAATTAAGGACCAGCCAGCCACATGACAATTTCTCCCTTAAAATCTTTTTTTGTGCAGTATCATTTCATCTTTTATCCTTCAACGGAATATGCAATATAACACTCAACTCAGTACTAGCACGCTCAAAATCATCTACTTGAATATTTTATCTTCATTTGATCCCATTGTATTGTTTGAATTCTATAATTAATTACCATGAGACCCCGCGCGCGCCTCAACCTAATCCCCAATCTTCTCTCATCCCAAAAAACACTTAAATAGCGACTGGGTACGAGTCTGCAAACTTCCCGCGTGCATCCATAAATACGCACGTTAAGCATGCACAAACTATTCCAAATCCTTCATGTTAAAGCGAGCGACATACGCAGGTGCTGATCTCCTTCCTACCCCCGCGAACCCCCGCGTCTCGCTTCACCTCGCGCATACCCTAAATATTACCTCGCGAGTGGCAATTTTTCACGCGCTATCGCGTATTTCGCTCGCTCAACTGTCCCCCATGCCAAAGAACTTGCAGTCATCAAAATTTGCATATGAGCCATTACTACAAAACTATTAATCAACAGCCACTTCGTTAAGCAATGAATCGAAACAAGAACACTGCACATGTTGATTCTCAGACGTCGGAGCGTTATTTTCAATTCATATTTACCAAGAGCCATAATGGCTTTTGTATTACCTACTACGTGACTACGGACCCTGGTGGCAGCCCGGGGTGGCAGACCATTTTATTCTTTGGAATTCAGATAAAATTTACATTCATCGACCACGGGACCGCGGACTGCGGCGGCAGTCCGTTTTACAGTGCAATTAGTGGGTCGGGTATTCTGCAATCGCTCCGTGAGCTTTATCGAGAAGAAAAACGTTTCGTTCCTGCTGCAAACCGATAAAATAATAATCGATCCAAAGTCGATTAGTCGGTTGAAAGCAAACAAGAAACGATTTCAACCAGCCACGTGCTTTAACAAAAAAACCGCCGCCTTGAGAGTTTTTGAGCTAGAATAGATCGATGGTTTTGAAAGATATAGCACAACAAGTAAAAGCTATGCCGTTCTGAAGGTACAGTTTTTCGAAGCGCTTGTAACCTAAATATTTCTTTTCAGCGCCAGATTTATGCAAATTTTGAAAACAACGCGAGTTAGGTTTCGAATTACATCGTTAGCACTAATGTTATTTTGAAACCTATCGCCTTTTATTAATATCCTCTTTACATGCCAGGGCGTTAACGATGGGTCGTGCCAATGACCCCCTAAACTAAACAACATACAGTGTTACCTACAGTATTACACATATCTTTACGTGTTAAAGATACATGTCGAGCAGATATTGCTTTCACGCTACTCACGCGGATGAGGTCGCTTACCATGACGATATAGAAATTTGGTCACGTGAGTGCATACGCTCAATATAAATTCAAAAATATGTAATTCAGACTCTGTAAAGTCATTTGCCGCGCGGATGCACTACTTGCGCGCGACGTAGGAAAAGAGAGAATAACAAAAATGGTTTCCTTCAAGTATTTTTTCTCGAGTGCACTGTTTGGAGGAATCATCGGTGGTATTTGTGGTGTTATGTTGACTTTCAAGATTTACGTAAATGGGAACGAAGAACCAGCGGAGGACCCTAATGAAGAAGAACTTCAGCCAGCGATACAGGAGGAGATGATCTTGGTTAGAGAACCTGTGGAACACGATGAAAGAACTGAAAGATCTTATTGAAAATGGATGAGTGGTAAGTTTTGTTTCCTTTTTTCTCTTTTCGCATTTCTAAATCGCTAATAACCATTAATTAGTAGAGAATTCTCCCCAATGACTTTTTTAGTTTTTAAGAACCCTGTTCATCAAGGGAACGTTCAGAACAATGTTTGTGACCGGCTAGAGCATAGAAAGCAGCTTGGTTATGTGTTTCTCAAAGTAGAGAAAGGATCTTTAGTTAAGACCTATCTAGAATAACTTCAACTAATATAAGCGAAGCTGTAAAACCTTTCTACATTTTTTTTTTTTACTTTAAATCTAACAATTTGGGGCTCATATTCTGAAAAATTTTGAGGGAAACGTGTGATGTGTCTGTGTGCTCTCTGGTGTGTCACTGTGTCTGTCTCTCTGTGGTGTATCTACTTTCTTTTTGCGCCCACTTCACTTCACGTCACGGGGAATCCCCGAATAGTTTCGAATTCTCGCATAGGCAACCCACGCTGCAAATGGAAATTAAATAAGAGGTAAAATCTTTCCTGTTTTGTTTTATTCCTGAATCTGCTGTGGTGCGTAGTGAAATTGAAGTTGTTTTACGATGCAAAAACTAAGTTCAAGTCGATGCTTTAACCGTCGTTGATTTCACAACGCTTTTAGCCTGCGCAGCTGGCGGGACTTGGGTGGGAGTTTTGTATTGTTTTGGCGGCGGAGCCGCGAGAAGGGTTGGTATACAACTCATTTTGAAAATCCCTTGCGGCTTCGCCACTCGCTTCGCGCGGACTTACAGCTGGTGTGCGTCACGAGATTCGACCAATCAGAATGCGTCATTTGTAGACTGGTGGTATATATGGTGAAATTTCGCTTTCCAAGCTCGTGTCGATAATTTCGACACTATACCCCTTGGAAAGTTGTTGGAACACTTTATCTTGATAGTAGTTGCGTTACTTTTCAATACGTTGCTTTCTTGAGCGTTTGCGACAAGTCTGAATTACTCGGTCATGTGCAAGCCGCCATGATGATTTGATTGTAATTTTCGCCGAACTTCTTGGATTCATTCCTGGTTACTGGTAGCGGTTTTATCGGATTATTTCGGTCAACTTGTTACTTCAGCCTTTCTTCTTTGTAAATTTCGGGGTCTACCCGCGTCTTCCCCTGATAGTTTCCCCGTTATGAGGCGTTGAAAGTGTCTTGGAATGAAGAGATTGTCTCAGCGAGTACAAGTCCCGGGAAACGGGCTGAGAAACTTGTTTCCGACGTGAAGTGAGTAACGCAAAATCCACGAAGAGTTTCTTTCATTTTAAGCCACAAAAGGTATAGACTGTTCAAAGTCCTCTATTTTTCCGTAAGATCATAGAGAACGAGCGCTTTGTGGTACGGGGGCGGTTATGCAACGTGGCGTCTTGCTGTGAGCGATATTATCGGACATAATACCCTGGTCCCAGAGGTTTTTCTTGATTTTTCTTCGCGAAAGAGATCAAGAGCAAGCCGCGAAGCGGCGACAACGAGTCGCGAAAGCGACGAGGAGAGAGAGAAAAACCTCTGGTTACCTTGGCCTCGAATCTCACTTTCATGCTGACGACAGGGTCAGGATCTGACCCTCAGGCGTTGATTGGTTGATAGTTTTTCAAACGCGCAAACCAATTTGATTGGCTCGTTTAATTGTAACTACCGAGGGGACGCTGAGGATTTTCACAACTCATTTTGCCTCTCTCTACTAGGGAAGAAAATTGTTTGTATGCTGCACGGGACCAAGGCACGTAGAGGCACGCCATGAATGTTGTTCCTGAAAGAATATTCGAATATTTGCACGGGACCAAAGCACGTAGAGGCACGCCATGAATGTTGTTCCTGAAAGAATATTCGAAGAAATTTTGACCTCGGTACTTAATGAGCGCTTTCCTGAGTCTCACTGAGCAACAAAAGAAAGCTTTGTTCGCTGCGTTGAGTCGAAAGGATGTGTTCACCATTTTATCAACCGGACATGGAAAGTATATTTTCTGTTACAATACTGTCATTCCATTAAATAAACTAACTTGTTTAGGGCAGCAAAATAAAAAATCTCCGAATACGGAATGAAAGTTTCCTTGTAGGAAAAAAATCATACAACTTTGTATAAGTACGTAATCATTTTCGGTGCAGCTTGATTTTCCTGCGACGCCCAAAAAAGATCTAACCAACGCTATTTTTGGCATAGACCTATTCGGCTAACTCAATGTTGTACCCAATTCAAATCTCCCGGGGAAAAGATTCTTTGTGTTTTGAATTTGCATTATAATGTGGCATTCACATTTAAATGGTATGGAAATTCCTGAAACAAAACGTTTTATTCCCAAAGGGTCTGAATTGGGTGAATTGGGTACATTGAGTTAGCCGAATAGGTCTATTGGGTCAACAAAAACCTCTGAAAGTATTACATTCCGAACCTTAAGGGTTTGTTGTGCTGCATGACTCTTCCTAGCGTCGTTGTTCCACAAAAAAAGGAAATGGAGCCGCCAAACCAAAATGCGAGCCAGATTGCCAGAATACATATTAATAATACTATTTTCAGGGGAATGCCCGCGAATCGACGCGAACGGCGCGTCCCGCAGAAGTAAACAATGTAATAAGCGCGATTGATAGACTCTTGCAAACTTTACAACTTCCCGCTGGCACACTGCCGACAGAACAGATGACAATGTTTGTGAAAAATCCTTGTTATTATACCCAAATAAATTCCGCAAATCCTGCAGCAGTCGTTTGGAACAATGTCGGTTTCTTTATAAAGTGGTCTTCTTATTCCTGGACTCTTGTCGCCCATCGTTAACACATGCTTTAGTTTGAGCCCGATTAACAAATCACTCTTTACCAACAAAGTGGAGATGGTTTGTTCATAACATAATTTCCCCAGGTCTACCCCGACTTAAAAAAATAGCGACTGATAAGCACGTGTTTGCTAAGTTGCCATTGGTCACTCTTTTTATTAGCAATTTGACGCGTTTGACAGCTGTCGTCTCCATGAAAGTGAAATTCGAGGCCAAGGTAACCAGAGGTTTTTCTCTCTCTCCTCGTCGCTTACACGACTTGTTGTCGCCGCTTCGCGGCTAGCTGTTGATCTCTTTCGCGAAGAAAAATCAAGAAAAACCTCTGGGACCAGGGTACGGACATAAAGGCAGGACATCGGATTTGTTGTGCAGGAAGTGCATAAAATATCCATTATTATTATACCCATATCCCGTGACTGACTGTTTATATTTAGAAGAGATTAAAGCCATATCAGTAGCTATATTAAAAATCTTGAACCTAGGATCTTATAGAAACAGAAATATTTTCCACATTAATTTGCTCCAAATTTATAGACTGTTCACAGTCCTCTATTTTTCCGTAAGATCATCGAGATCGAGCGCCTTGTGTCACGGGCTGCCATCTTGCATGAGTGTCAACCGCCCCCTCGCCGGTACATCTGAAAATCAAGATACCCGTGACGGTAAGACGCGGTACAATAGGGGACTGTGAACAGTCTACAAAAGGTAAATAAGTTTAAATATTGTGATAACCTTTAGAAGCAAAACTTTTTTCATAACCCAGTGCGGAAACTGAAAGCGTGTCTTAAAAATAATTTGCATGCAGTGTGTGCTATTTGTATGCAAATCTTCACGTAAACTTACGCGAGGGAATAAATCTCTACCAAAACACAAAACCATTATCGAAGATCAGACAACATCATACAGGATTTTAAGACTGTGAGGTTAGGTTTATAACAAAATCGATACAATGCGCTCACTTCAATGAACGTACAGACAAGATCGTGGCCAGTGTATGAGGACCGCAGAAAATATTGGGCCTGATCTCAGTCAGCTTAGACCGTTAAGGACTGGGAAAACGCCGCACAGCGATGAGGCAACATCTTTCCATTACTGCGAGCAGCTTACTGCGATGTAACTCCTTGTCACTGGTATATATCATTTTATAGCGATTTTTTTTCGTCGAGGATTTTATAGTTGTGTCTAGTGCGCGATTTTGGTTGCGTTTCTTATTTACTGCCTGACGTCGTTTGTTTCATTGGCGTATTTGTAGCTATTTCGAGCCGTGTTGTTTCTTACACTCCTTTACTGTCTAGAAGTCATTAAAAGCAGTTTCCAGCCGTTTCCAAGTGATTTTGAGGGGGGTCTTCGTTTTCTACACACCGGGGGATTGTGTAGAAACGAAGACCCTGGTCGCAATTTTGTATAATTGGAGATATTGTTGCTTCTTCTGCTTCTTACGCATCTAAGGTCGAGATACCAGTTTCTAGATATTTATAAGTGATTTTCAGGGGGGTCTTCGTTTTTGGGTCTTAGATATTAGGTCTTCGTTTTCTACCCACCCATCTTCGTAGGACTTAGCATAAAGAAATTGAAACCTTCGTCTTGCATCTTAGCGGAGAAAGGGCAGAAAATGCGATATTTCAAAACGATCAAACCCATAAAAATCGCGAGGTCGAAAGAGGTCGGAGAATGGAACTAGCATCAAGCACCCCTTGTCCGCTAGACTGCAAAACAGTCGGTCTTTTTCTCAAAATCAGTTAAGAAATCGGTAAAGCGTGGCGTAAGAGTCTTACGCGCGTACTTGAATACGCAAAAATACGGACTGTTTTGCAGTCTACTTGTCCGCCGATTTAAGTAATTTATTAGGGCAAAACCCTGCTGGAATAAAGACAGTTTTCGATAATTGAAAGTCATCTAAATAAATATTCACTTGCGAGTTAAAACAGCAGGTCGTAAACGAGAGCAATAATGCGTCAAATGACCATGGAAACATTTTCCATTATTAATCAGATACCCAAGATTAACAGGGCTCATTGAAACTTACCTTGGATGAGCTGCATCTTGAAATTCAGGTCGTTGAAAAGACAGAATTCACACAGGTACGTCGGGGTGCTCGTGCTATATTAAGACTAGTAATAGTTGACACTACGGCTGCCCCCGTTCTGTATATTGTCGGTCAATAGTATTCTTGCTGGTTGTGTAGCTCTTTGAAATATACCGATTCATAATGAAGATTTTCACACATATTCCATACAATAGGTGAGATGTAAATACAGGAAACGCAAGGTTCCATGCACAGTTTTAGTTTTAGTTTTAGTTTAGTTTTAGTTTTAGTTTTAGTTTTAGTTTTAGTTTTAGTTTTAGTTTTAGTTTTAGTTTTAGTTTTAGTTTTAGTTTTAGTTTTAGTTTTAGTTTTAGTTTTAGTTTTAGTTTTAGTTTTAGTTTTAGTTTTAGTTTTAGTTTTAGTTTTAGTTTTAG